TCTCACTGCTCTTCCTTCAGTTCATTTTACTGCTGGCAGCCTGAGATGCTATCACGAAAAGTTAACAAAGACACTTGTAATGGAAGCTTTCCGGAAGGATGTAAGGAATGTAAAATGAGGAACTCAGTCTTAATTGCCTTCAGGGTAAACAGATCAACATCCTATTTTAGGGCCAGAGTCTGGTGTGCATACCAGAGAAACACTGGTATTTTTACCACATCTAGACATTCCTGGATTTTCCCGTAGCGTGTCCTGTTCCCAGCCACCTTCAGGAAGCTAGCACTCAAGAGAGCATGGACTGGGTCCAATAAAGCCCAGTCTGGAGTGTGACTTGAATGAGGTCTGACCTCCCCGAATGGAATAAGCCAGTCCTCATGCACACAGCCCTCCTGGGGCTTCAGACACGGCTCGTCTCAGACTGGGCAATGGTGTGAGAGAGTGGAAGAACTTTATACCAAACACAGTGTGCATTTTAGGAAACACCACAAGGAGTGGCCCGAGAGTGGAACCAGATGATTTAGAAATAAAAGAGGAGGACCCATGGGGTCCAGGGAGGATAGATAATTTCATAGCATTGAGAGGATAAAATTCGGCTTCTCTGAGCTACAGGAACATTTTCCCTCTTCCCTTTGTATGCTACTTTTGATTTTTTAATTTGTGTTATAGTCCTTTCTATATAAGCCTATTTCTCTTATTAGATTCTAAGCAAGATCAACACAATCACAGTGTTAACTCAAATTCATGTATCCATGGCTTTCAGTGATTTTTGCTCAGACTCTCAGTTGTGTCCTATTCATTATGACCTCATGAACTGTAGCCTGCCAGGCTCCTCTACCCATGGAATTTATCATGCGAGAATTCTGGAGCGGGTTGCCATTTCCTACCACCGGGGAATCTTCCTGACCCAGGGATTGAACCCACGTCTCCTGCCTCTCCTGCTCTGGGAGGTGGATTCTTTACCACTTGAGCTACCTGGGAAGCCCCAGTGATAAAATTTACACACAAAAGATGTAGCCGCAGTGTTTGTCACAGCTGTTGGTACGCATGGTCAAGTTACCATAGCTCAGTACTCTGAGTCACAGAGGAGGTCTTAAGGCTCAGACTTTCCTAGTGAGTCACTCAGTCGTGTCTGATTTTTTGCGACCCCATGGACTATACAGTTCATGGAATTCTCCAGGCCAGGATACTGGAGTGGGTAGCCTTTCCCTTCTTCAGGGGATCTTCCCAACCCAAGGATCGAACCCAGGTCTCCCACATTGCAAGCGGATTCTTTTACCAGCTGAGCCACAGACTCTCCTAAAAGTGTCTCAAAGGACTCCTGTATGAGAAAGAAATGGAAAGGGATGAGATTTACCTTGGAGAACATGACTAATGCTGTTCAACTGATTTTGACTTAACAATCCTGTTACGTTACAAGGGAAGATTTTTGTCCAACTCTATTGGAAGAGGATTTTGGAAGACATCTTTTAAAAAATAATTTTATTTCTTTGTTTTATTTTTAGATGTGCTGGGCCTTCATTTCTGCATGAGCTTTTCTCTAGTTGTGGCAAGGGGCGCTACTCTCTAGTTGTGGTGTGCAGGCTTCTCATTGCCGTGGCTTCTGCTATTGTGGCCCCGTCTCTAGGGCATGCAGGTTCAGGAGTTGTGACACGTGGGCTCAGGAGTTGTGGCTCACAGGCTCTAGAGCACAGGCTCAATAGTTGTGGCTCACAGGCTTAGCTGCTCCAAGCATGTGGGATCTTCCCAGATAAGGGATCAAACTCTTGTCTCTTGCTTTGGCAGGTAGATTCTTTACCACTGAGCCACCAGGGAAGCCCTGGAAGACCTTTTCTTTTCGTACATATTCTATGTGCTTAGTAAATCCTGCTATAGGCACCATACCCAGCGTTTTTCCACTCTTACCTGGCTCTGCAGCTGATTCTAGGAGAGTTCCATATTTTGGCTATTATCCTGTTCGATGGTTCAGGTCACTGTGAACCAGAGGGGTGTTGAATTCTCCCCCTTTAATTGCCCTTCTCACTTCCTGCTCCAAGTGGCAATAGGAATATGCAGCAATCAGTTAAAATTAATTTATCCATGTCAAAAAGATATTTGCCTAGGAGAAAGCTCCAGGACAATTTCCTGCCGGGAAGGAAATTTCCAATTTTAACCATTATTTGAAACAAGCTAGAAATGTTTTCATCAGTCTTGAAAAACCTCTTCTTTCTCTCCACAAAGTGTCAATTTTATTTGAAAAAAACACCTGCCCCCTACAAACGTGTCTGCTCCCTCATTTCCATCTTGCTGCTACTGCTTATTTCAGACCTTTGTGTCTCTCACAGAGACTCTTGCAGGAAACACCCGACTCCAGTCAGCCCTTCCTTCAGTCCCCGTGCTGAATTGGACCATAAGTTGTGCTCAGACACAACCCCAAGGAAAACCTTCAGGACCCACACACAGGGTCAGGTCCAAATATCTTAGCATGATTTTCAAAGCCTTACGTGATCTGGGACCAGTGCACTTTGCTGACTTTTCCTCCTGGGATGCCCTTGTGATCCAGTGTCCCGTCACACTTGACACCTCCCTAGCTTTCTGGTATGTCGGGTACAGTTTTGCCCCTGTGACTTCATCCACCTGGGCTCTGACCCTCTCCCTCTTTGTCTGGTGGAAACCTATTCATCCATGAAGGTGCAGCCACATGGAATGGAATCCGCACAAACCCCCTTATCTAACTTACCAACACCGGGAATGACTGGTCAACCAAAAGACTCAAAGAAGGAAATTCTAAAAAATAAAACCCATCTACCAAACCATTCTCACTTAACCATGTCAAGAACATTCATTTGTTGACCCTTGGATGTGATGGTTTCACTGGTCAAAGTTTTCCACTGATTTTCATTACAAAACACAGTCACAAAGTTTTGTTTTCCAGTTTGGGTCCTTACAAAGGAATGAGAGTTTAAAGGTATTTGAAAAGTAATCTGAATGCAGAGTTCTAGACTTTTATGATTTCATCTGCAAAAAAAATTTTTTTTTACTCTTGTCTCATTCCTAATTGAACAACATTAGAAAATCAGTTTTGCATAATAATGCAAAAGTACTTAATGTCACTGAACTATACATGTAAGCATGGTTGAAAAGGTGTATTTGTCTGTTTGGGCTGCATAGCAAGTCCGTGTCAGCAGGGTTTACATGACACTGTATTTCCGTGCAGTTCTGGAGTCTGGTAGCCCATGATCAAGGTGCTGGCAAGTTTGGTTTCTGACTAAGGTCCTCTTCTTGGCTGTTGAACGGCCTGCTTGATGTGTCCTCATGTGGCCTTGCCTCTGTGAGTGTGTGGAGAGAGAGAGTTCTCTGGTGTCTCCTCTAAGGGCACTAATCCTGTCAGACAGAGTCCCACCCTCACGACCTCATTTAACCTTAATTCACTCCTTCCAGGCCTCATCTCCAGATACAGCCACACTAGGGGCTGGGGCTGTGACATAAATTTGGGGCAGGGGTGGTACAAATATTCAGTCCATAACAGACATTAAATTTTAAGTCATGTGCATTTTATCATGATTGGATAAAAAAGAGAAATTGACAAATTGTTTTCCAAAGTAAAAGAAAAAAAAATCAATTTGCGTTGTCGAGTCTCTACAAAGCCTTCAACTTAGTGGTCATGGAAATACTCATGCTGGAGTTTCCTCACATGATGTGATGGTTTACTGAAATGGCCCGAATGGAGTTGAGAACCACGGTGTTTGACACTGGTCAGCACCCCCTCTGCTGTGCACCTCTGGTTGTGGACTCTGATGGGCTCTGAGGACAGAGTCGGTCTTGCCGGGGATGTGGAGAGCTGTGGTCGCCCTTCAGATGTAGTGGCCACCCCAGGGGCTTGCTGCTGACGTGATCTCTCTGCCCTCAGTGGGCTATGCGATCCTGAGACCCACAGACAGCCCTGCAGGGAATGTTTCCCTGACAAAGCCTGCCTTTGCATTGGAGTTGGTGTGTACCCCAGCATCCTTTTCTTTTTAATTTATCTTTTTAAGTTGGAGGATAATTGCTTTACAGTGTTGTGTTGGTTTCTGCTGTGTAATAAGGTGAATCAGCCATAACTATGTATATTTGTTGATTTGTTGTTTAGTCACTAAGTTGTGTCTGACTATTTGTAACCCCATCAACTGCAGCATGTGAGGCTCCTCAATCCTCCACTATTTCCCAGAGTTTGCTCAAATTCTAATGGAGTTGAGAACCACGGTGTTTGACGCTGGTCAGCACCCCCTCTGCTGTGCACCTCTGGTTGTGGACTCTGACGGGCTCCGAGCAGGACAGAGTCGGTCTTGCCAGGGATGTGAAGAGCTGTGGTCGCCCTTCAGATGTAGCGGCCACCCCAGGGGCTTGCTGCTGACGTGATCTCTCTGCCCTCAGTGGACTATGCGATCCTGAGACCCACAGACAGCCCTGCAGGGAATGTTTCTCTGACAAAGCCTGCCTTTGCATTGGAGTTGGTGTGTACCCCAGCATCCTTTTCATTTTAATTTATCTTTTTAAGTTGGAGGATAATTGCTTTACAGTGTTGTGTTTGTTTCTGCTGTGTAATAAGGTGAATCAGCCATAACTATGTATATTTGTTGATTTGTTGTTTAGTCACTAAGTTGTGTCTGACTGTTTGTAACCCCATCAACTGCAGCATGTGAGGCTCCTCAATCCTCCACTATTTCCCAGAGTTTGCTCAAATTCACGTCCATTGAGTTGGTGATGCTATCTAACCATCTCATCCTCTGCCGCCCCCTTCTCCTGTTTATCCCATCCCCCCCCACCATCCCACCCCTCTAGGTCATCACAGAGCAGGGAGCTGAGCTCTCCACTAGCTCTCTTACACATGGTAAGTGTGTATATGTCAGTGTTACTCTTTTAATTCATCCCACCCTCCTGCTGTGTCTGCAAGTCCGATCTCTACATCTGCATCTCTACTGCTCCCCTCCAAATAGGTTCATCTGTGCCATTTTTCTAGATTCCACATATATATATGTTAATATATGATACTTTTTTCTCTTTCTGACTGACTTTATTCTGTATAATAGGCTCTAGGTTCATCCACCCCAGTTCAGCTGCTTCACATTCAGTCCTTTTTAGTTCCTGGCATCCTTAACACTCTGAATTCATTGTGGAAATGTTTAATTTCTTGACTGTGCTAGGCTTTTGCTGGGATTCTGCTATATAACAAATAGCTCTAAAGTCTTGGAGGCTTTGTAAATAAATCATCATTTATTTCACACTCCTCAGTTGACTCCTAAGTAGCGGTTGGTGGTTGACCATAGAAGCTGAACAGAGCCGGGTGGGTGGCCTTGAGGGGCATTCCTCTGGCCATACTGGGCTCAGCAAGTGGCTGGAACAGACATCTCACCAGACTTCCTGGCTTTTCCTGTGACTCTACACCTGCGCTTTCTCTCCTGGTGCCACATGCATACCGTGGAGATGCTCCCCCTCCGGGGGACGTCTGCATAGGGTACCAGGTGGCAGACACACGGCCAGTGTACTCCTTTGCTTGTTGATCGTGTGCTGTCTGCACTTCCACATCATATACCCTCGAGTGTTTAGCACAGAGTGGAGGGTGTAGACCCACTAGCCTCTGTAGTGATGCCAGTAAGAAAGACCTTTTCATTGAAGAGAAAAATTTAAGTAAAAAAAGGAAGGCAAAGAATTCTACTTACTTACTTACTTACCTACCTGCCTAAAATTAACAACTTTCTTTTCGTAAATGGGGCAAAATGCAAAGATCTTGGGAGATGTGATACATTGATTTAAATTCACGTTAAAACATAAGTGATATGTTTCAGATTCTGTTTTTTTTTTTAACATTTTATTATTATTTATTTTTGGTTGTGCTGGGTCTCGTTGCTATGCTCGGACTTTCTCCAGTTGCGATGAGTGGGGGCTGCTCTTTGCTGAGGTGCATGGGCGCCTCACTGCATGGCTTCCCTTGTTGCAGAGCGAAGGTTCTAGGACATGAGGTCTCAGCAACTGTGGTGCATAACCCAGTTGCTATATAGCATGTGGAGTCTTCCCAGACCAGGGATCGAACCCATGCCCCCTGCCTGGGCAGGCTGACTGTTAACCCCTGGACCACCAGGAGGTCCCAGGTTCTAGTTTTGACCAATGGTTATCAATGGCAGAAGGGGGCATTAAGAAACGGAAAGACCAGAGAAGTGATTTGTTAAAATGCTTCATCTATCAAGTTCTTAATATATGCAGGCTCTGGGCTGGGAGCCCTGCGAGGGAAGGCCGTGGTTCAGGGACAGGAAAGGTGCAGAACTGGGGAGCTGGGGACCCTGAGTTTCTGTCACCATTTTCACACTGATGCCCATAACCACCACCCCCCGCCCCACCCCACTCTGGTGTAACTGAAGTCATCTAGTCCTAGAGGCAAGTAATCCAAGGAGTATGGTACCCGGATGCACACAGTTCTGCTGATGCGCCCAGATTTCTGCAGGTGGTCCTGAAAACACCTGGGCTCAGCTCTGCATTCAGCTGGAGCCCCATACAGATCGATCGACACAAATTTGATTATTGACACAGAGTTATGACACAGTGTCCCTCCTGAATTTATTTTTCTAGAATATGAATTTTTCCTGGCTAGAAGTACAAAAATTTAAAAATAAAGTGAATGATTTCTGTTTTAGAGGAAATTGTTGGCTATGTTGTAGGCACTTCTGGCCAAAGAAAGAGACCTCTCTTCTGGCTCAGCCTTCCTGGTCCATGAGTGGCCCTCATTGAATTATTTGAATTTTATCCTGTGCTGTATGATAGATTCAGTTTTTCTGAGCAGAGTCTTCCACTCACAGGCTATTCATCTTACAGATAGCTACCTCTATCTACTTTTAAGAGTTTCAGGGAAAATTCATGGAAGTCATAATTCTTATAATTTTATTTATTTATTATAAAATTGTATTTAACTTTTTTATTGACATACACTTGATTTACAGTTTGTGTTAATTTCTGCTATACAGCAAAGTGATTCAATTATACATATATTTATATTCATCCTTTTTAAAAATATACTTTTTCTTTATGGTTTAGCATAGGATCTTGAATATATTATCCATGCTATTATATACAGTAGGACCTTGCTGTTTGTCCATTCCAATGTAATAACCTATATCTGCTAACCCCAACTTTACAGATTCTACCTATTTAAGTGACAGCATATGGTATTTGTCTTCCCCTGACTCACTTCACTAAGTGTGATGAGCTCTAGGGCTGTGTGTACATATGTGTGTGTTCAGTCATGTCTCACTCTTTGTGACATCATGAACTGTAGCCTGCCAGGCTCCTCTTTCCATGTAATTTTCCAGGCAAGAGTACTGAAGTGACTTACTATTTCCTACTCCAGGGGATCTTCCCATCCCAGGGATTGAACCCACGTCTCCTGAATTGGCAGGCAGATTTTTTACCAGTTGCACCACCTGGGAGACCCCCTAGGTCTATGATGTTGCTGCAAATGGCATTATTTCCTTCATTTTTATGGTTCAATAATATTCCCTTGTATATACTTCTTTATCTATTCCTCTACTGTTGGACATTCAGGTTGCTTCCAGATCTTGGCTATTGTGAATAGTGCTGCTGTGGACATTGCTCATAGTTTTATAATTCAGCAAATGATTTTAGACAGAGATGACTTCAGAAGACATGTGGTTAGTTCACTCATTGGCTTCCTGTTGCAGATTTATACTTCTGTATAACAAAGCATCCCAAAATGTAGTGTCTTAGAACAACAGCCTTTCTTACCTGCTGCAAGTCTGTGGGGGTGAACGACTTCAGTGGGGTGTCTTCTGCTCCTGTGGGTTCATCAGGGTTGGGACATGCTCCATGGCTTATTCCCATGGCTGCCGATGGGCTATCAGAAGAGAGCCAGGGCGCGTGGGAATCAGACAGTCTTAGTTCCCCTCCTCATCCCGGCATCTCCAGGGGCTTCTGACAGTGTGTTGACTGAGTCCCACAGGACACTATTCTCAGCGATGAAGGCAGAAACCTCAGGTCTTTTTTTTTTTTTTTTCATTTCTTTTTATTAGTTGGAGGCTAATGACTTTACAATAGCCTGGGAGCATAGACAGCATCAACACAGCCATATCTATCAATGGAACTGTGTCACTGGCCAATGCCTTCAAGTGAATGGGACATAGATATCATCCCTTGGTGGAAGAAGTGGTAGGAATGTGGGACCGTTTCGATCATTCACAGCCCTTGATGAGTTTCCTAATGGAAGGCACCTTTTTTCCAAAGTGCTCTAGAAGGGCACTTCTCAATTTTGAGCCTGTCAAGTCTCCTCAGTAGTCTTGTTAAAATGCAGATGCTGACTCAGTGGGGCTGGAGGTGAGGCTTGAGATTTCGTGTTTCTCACAAGCTCCCAGGCAGTGTGGGTGCTGCAGGTCCATGGACCACACGTCTGAGCTGGAAGCGTCAAGGGCCGGTGACCTAAGTTTAATTTTCATCAGAGGCCCCTGAAAATCTGTCGAAACACAGATTGCTCTATTCCCTGCCTGCCACCCCCACCATGGGTTTCTGATTAAGTAGGTCTGTCGGGGTGGGGGGCCCTGATGATTTGCATTTCTAATATGTTTCCAGGTGACTCTCATGCTCTGGGTCTGAGGCTTGCTCTTGGAGAACCACTGCTGTAGAAAAATGTTCTCATCAAACCCTGAAAACATCTGGAGGGAAGCAGAAATAGCTGTTAGAAACAGGGGCTCAGAAATGCAGCCACCTTGATTTCTACAGATTATACTTATGAGACACCGCAACACAGAAACTTCAGTCACTGCTGGCAACTCACACGAAGAAAATGTAGCTGTCAGGTGGAAAAAAGCTTGCACAGATACTGAGCATATTTTAAAAAGTGGTTTATACTCATCGCACATTCAATTAAAATTCTTAACAATTAGCCCTACCATTTTCACCAGTCTCACTGAAGTCTCTTCAGACCCCGGTCCTCTTCTACTCCTTCAAGTCAATTCAGCAAAAATGTATTGATCTCTCATTAAGGGCAAAGAGCTGTGCTGGAGATGGTGGGCATATTGGGAAAACCCAGCCGGCACTCACTCTTCAGAGCTTTACGCTTTGAAAACCCTAAATCAGTTCATTTAGGGTTTAGTATTGCAAGGCTTACTTGGTAATTCAGAGATAGAAATGAAACCTGTATGATTTGGGAGGAATTCAGTGATAGATAGAATCAGGGAACAAGGATCATGAAAGTCTTCTATTAAAAAAGGGTCCTTTTAGGGACTTCCCTGGTGGTCCCGTGGTTAAAACTCTGCACTTCCAGTGCTGGGGTTGAGAGTTTGATCCATGGTTAGGAAACTAAGATTCCACATGCCATGCAACATGGCCAAAAGATAAGAAATAAATCAAAAGAGCCCTTTTAGAAGAGTTAGGGATGCATTAAGATTTTGCCAGGAGAGGCTGATGGGCGGGAAATGGAGTTACATGGGAACCTGAGCAAGAGGTGGAAGAGCAGGCAAATATGATAGTGAATGGTCCAGGGATACAGGGCACATGCTGGGACTAGAGGGAGATTCGTGGAAGGGGAGGATGCTGTGATGAACTGCAGGGCCCCAGGTGCCAAGGTAAGGAGCCCTTCTTCTATGTGGAAGATGATGGGAGAACTATTGGAGGTGTCAGAGCAATGGACAGCATGCCTTGAGCCCTGCTTTAGAGATCTGGTGACCTTTGGTAGGGTGGCTTTTGAGAGATGCCAAGTGGGAGACTGGTCTGGGGGTTATTGCAGTGATTCACACAGGGCAACAATGAGGGTTTTAAAATCCCCCTAGACCCCAAACTCCCCTCCACTTGTGGTTAGCAGATGCAAACTATTATATATTAGAGATAGGATGGATGCAAAACAAGGTCCTATTGTAGAGCACAAGGAACTATATTCAATATCCTGTGATAAATCATGATGGAAAAGAATATGGAAAATATATATATATATATATATAACTGAGCCACTTTGCTGTCCAGCAAAACCTCCCTGATGGCTCAAGTGGTAAAGAATCCGCCAGCAATGTAGGAGACGCAGGTTTGATCCCTGGGTTGGGAAGACCCCCTGGACAAGGAAATGGCAACCCACTCCAGTATGCTTGCCTGGAGAATCCTATGGACAGAGGAGCCTGGTGGGCTACAGCCCATGTGGTCACAAGAGTCAGACAGGAATGAGCATGCATGCCAAGCCAAATGCCAAGGAACTAACACAACATTGTCAATCCACTATATATATGTCAATCAGTTCAGTTCAGTTCAGTCATTCAGTCATGTCTGACTCTTTGCGACCCCATGGACTGCAGCACGCCAGGCCTCCCTGTCCATCACCAACTCCCGCAGTTTACTCAAACTCATGTCCATTGAGTCAGTGATGCCATCCAACCATCTCATCCTCTGTTGTCCCCTTCTCCTCACACCTTCAATCTTTCCCAGCATTAGGGTCTTTCCCAATGAGTCAGTTCTTCACATCATGTGGCCAAACTATTGGTTTCAGCTTAAGCATCAGTCCTTNTCCAGTTCTAACTGTTGCTTCCTAACCTTCATACAGATTTCTCAGGAGGCAGGTCAGGTGGTCTGCTATTCCCATCTCTTGAAGAATTTTCCACAGTTTGTTGTGATCCACACAGTCAAAGGCTTTGGCATAGTCAATAAAGCTGAAGTAGATATTTATACGTCAATTAAAAAAAATTTTTTTAGAAAACCCCCCCTGGAAGCACAGTTATGGTGACTGTGATGCTTCTGTGGGTGTGGGAACAGCTGTTGGAAGTGGGGCTGTGCAGCGTGTGATGATGGTAAAAATAATGATTGCAAAGGTTTCCGGTTACAGGATACTTTTCACACAAATGATCTCAGAATGGCTATGAGAAGGCGGTTGTAATATTATCCCCATTTTACAAATGCATCCCTGGAGGCTTGGCAAGGCCGAGCAGTGTATGGCAGAGGCGGGAGCCAGATGCCGGGGCTCTGAGGAGCAAGGCAGGAGACTGCAGCCGGGGAGTGGTACGCGGAGCAAGCGCGCTGTCTGCCCTGGAGCTGAACCTCGGGTGCTCACCGTCTCCTCACGGTCCAGGGCGGGTTCTTAGACCGTCTTCCAAAGCCACGCACAACCTAGATGGCATCGCATCCCTCTAATTTGCTCTTCTGTTCTGCCCTTTTAAATGAAACTGTCCATGGGGAAGTCTTGGTGACGACACACCGTGATGCCTTCTGAGCCAACCTTTAGTTGATCATCACTTTCCTTTCCCCGTCAGACTTCTCTTTTCTCCTTTCTCTACTTGCTCCTCACTCTCCCAGCTTCATCTCAGCCCTCCTGAGGAATCTGTTAGTCCCCATGTTGACACGAATCCTTGCCAGGCGTTTGCTGCTGGAACCAGGCGCCTCACCAATTTGGCCTCGAGTCATGGGCGCGCCGACGGCTGCAGCAGCGCCATCTGGTGGCTCCCAGGAATATGGTGGAGGAAACCCTCCTAGGGGCTGGGGGTAGTGGGGGGAGCAGAGACCCCTTGGAAGCTCAGGCTGTTTCCCTGAAGTTTTAAAATCTTTTTGGAAAAATGCATTTTATTTTTTAGAGGAGTTTTGGTTTCAAAATTGAGGGGAAAGTACAGAGATTTCCCATATGCCCCCTGCCCCTACTCAGGCACAGCCTCGCCCTGATCAACATCCTCACCCTGGGGGTGCACCTGTTACAACTGAGGAACCTGGGTCGTCATCCCCCGAAGTCTGCAGTGGACGTTAGGACTCACGCTTGATGATGTACGTTCTGTAGGTTTGGACAAATGTATCATGATACGCAGCTATCATTGTGACATTGTATTCACTGCCCTAAAAAACCCTCTCTGCTCCAGGGATGCATCCCTCTCCCCACCAGCCCCTGGCAACCACTGATCCTTTTCCTGTCTGTAGAGTTTTGCCTTTTCCAGAATGTCACGTGGTTGTAATCATATAGTGTGCATCCTTTTCAGATTGGCTTCTTACGTTTCCTCCATGTCTTCTCTTGGCTGATGGCTCGTTTCTTTTTAACGCTGAATAATACTCCATTGTCTGGATACACCACAGTTTATTTATCCATCACTCACTGAAGGGCATCCTAGTGGCTTCCAAGTTTTGGCAGTCATGGATAAAGCTGCTATAAACATCTGTGTGCTGGATTTTGTGCGGACAGAAGTTTTCAGCTTATTTGAGTAAATACCAAGGGATATACTTACTGGATTGTGTGGTAGGGGTATGTTTAGCCTTGTAAGAAACTGCCAAACTGTCTTCCAAAGTGGCTGTGTCATTTTGCATCCCCACCAGCCACAAATGAGAATTCCTGTCACTCCACATCCTCACCCGCATTTCATGTTGCCAGTGTTCTGGATTTCAGCCATTTTAATGTGACGGTCTTTTGTGCTAATTTTTAAACCATAAAAACAGAATTTCTCTGCTATTTGTGTTATTGGGGAAAAGGAAGGGAATAAGTAGTGCTTTTTAAGTAAGGAGTTTCTCACCTGGGGATGATACTGATAACATCAGAGTCTGAACTGGAGATAGCTCCTTGCTGTCTTTATGATGTGCAGACACATGGAAGCTATGGTTTTTCTGTGCAGCTTCACTCACTGTTCTCCTTTACGTGTAACATCTACCATGGGGACTCCAAGGATTGGAAGGATAGAAGAGAGAGGTATCAGTCTTTCCTTCCTAAGCTGAGCTACCCAGCTCCATGCTGATCAGACTGGGTTTTATCTTGTCACTTGCAGGGAAGCACCTAAGAAAGTGCCCAGTTAGAGATTTAAATGCATGTGTCACACATAGAGGCAGAAAGTTAGCTGCAATTTATCAGAGCATGTGGATAACTGATTGAAATTCATACTAGCATGTAGATGGTTGATAGAGAAAAGGAGTTTCATGGGAATATCTAGAGAGGATGGGCTCCTGAAATAAAGAGGGATTGGAGGCAGACATGTGTTGACAGAGATGGATTGAAATGGTCTCAAGGAAAAAAGGAAAATGGAGGCAGATACAGAAAAATGACTATCAATTTCATTTTTCCTGATGACAAGGACCTAATTTTTCCTGACTGCAAGGACCTAATTCCAGATCTCCCTTTTCTTACCTGACCTGCGACGTTTGCTCCATCCTCATGTCCTTCCTCCCTATCCATCCCCACGCCTCATCTGCCAAAGACCCATCCTATCTATTCTTTAAAGCTCAATTGCCTTCCCTGGTGGAGCAGGCAAGGCAATCCACTCCAGTACTCTCGCCTGGAGAATCCCAGGGACAAAGGAGCCCTGATGGGCTGCCATCTATGGGGTCACACTGAGTCAGACATGACTGATGTGACTTAGCAGCAGCAGCCTTCCCTGGGCAGCACATCAGACTGTATTGGTTTCCTTCTCTGAATCTCTAGAGCCTTTTGAATTAGAAACGTCTGTGCCTTGACTCAGGTTATTCTTTCTGGAATTCTTTGTTCCTCTTTTGCTGCCTGGTGAAATCTTACTCAGCTTGAAATGCACACACAGTATGCCCTCTCCTGTGTAAAAGCCTTACCCCATCCCTTAAGGCAGAAGACTGTGCTTTTCTGTCCTAGATATTCAGTCGCACTGTTGCTGTATAGTGATGTGCTGGCAAACCACCTCAAACACACACACGTACAAAAGCACACCACAGAAACCAAAGCAGCAATAACAAAACCCAGGCCTGAAGTGGTTGCCCGCTTCTGTGCTGTAAATTCCCCCACATGACTGATTTCAAGCTGCCCCCGTGACATCTTCTGAACGCAGAGTTGGGAAGAGGTGTAAATTGTTACCTAGGCTGTCAGAGTCTTTTAGGACGTGGAGGTGGGGAGCACAGCTTTTTCTCTCTGGTAACTTGTCTCTGGTCCCGTGTTCAGCATAAAACGGGCGCTCAATGTGTATCTGCTACTAGATATTCATTAGGTGAGAAACTGGGGGTCACCGTCTCTCTCCGTGGACTGGCTGGATGGCTGAACCTTTGGAGGGGGAGCTCAACAGCTGCAATTGCCCGGGAGCAGCTGTCGTGCAGAGAGGGCTCCCGAAGGAAAGCCGCTTGCCCCGCGGGGCGCAGGACAACTATGCTACATGTGCTTGTCTTTGTTTGGAAGCAAGGACAGGGGTCTGCAGACTTCCAGCAGTATATCAGGACCCTCCCGCTCTCCCCTAGTTTGCTTCTCAGGGTCTTAGCTGCACATCCATCTGAAACGTAGTTTCACCTGACACCGAGGCTGTGGGGAGGTCCATTGGCGCTTTGGAAGGTTGTGCAAGACGCGGGGACCAGAAGGCAGTGGCCACTGCTGCAGAAATGAGTTGCCTAAAAACACATTAGGCCACAACTCAGCTTTAGCGCTCCCAGAAGTTGATGCGACACCATTACCTGCAGTGCGCCTTTCCACAGGAGGCTCCCAGAGAATGGCACGCAGACCATGGCATGTGTCAGCACTTGCGGGCATGAGGAGGAAGGGCAGTGGCCTGGCCCACAGGGACGTCTGCACAGCGGAAGCCCGTGGTTCTGCCCACTCCTTCATTTCTTTCCATTCCTGCTTGGCTCTGGCTCAGGGTTTGGAGCTGGCACTATGGTTTCATGATCCTGGGCGGCCGAGCAGATATTAAACAAGGAGATGCCTCTCCTCATGCATGTGGCTTTGCCTGAAGCTCCACTGAGGGCAAGGTGGCCTCGGGCTGTTGTTTTTTCCTTGCCAGGCGTTTAGATTGGGGAGGACTTGGTCAGAATTTGTCACCAGGAACAAGGGGATGCTTTGGACAAATGGTTCCAAGAGGATGAGGCTGACATTCTAGTATCTTTCCATTCCTGCTTGGCTCTGGCTCAGGGTTTGGAGCTGGCACTATGGTTTCATGATCCTGGGCGGCCGAGCAGATATTAAACAAGGAGATGCCTCTCCTCATGCATGTGGCTTTGCCTGAAGCTCCACTGAGGGCAAGGTGGCCTCGGGCTGTTGTTTTTTCCTTGCCAGGCATTTAGATTGGGGAGGACTTGGTCAGAATTTGTCACCAGGAACAAGGGGATGCTTTGGACAAATGGTTCCAAGAGGATGAGGCTGACATTCTAGTAGGTGAGGTGAGAAGAGAGAGACCTGGAATTAGGTCCTTGTAACTTGTCATCAGGCAAAATGAACCTGATAGTCATTGAGGCTGTATCTGCCTCTCTTTTCCTTTTACCCCGAGCCCCTTTTCCTCCATCTCTGCCAATATGTTTTTCTCCTCTGGCTTCAGTCTCTCCTTGTTTCAGGAGTCCAGTCTTCTCCAGATGGTCCCAAGAAATTTCCTTTATTAACCATTTTGCATGCTAGTATGAATTACTATCATTTATCTACTTTTTAGTATGAATTGCAATCAATCATCCACATGCTAGTATGAATTGCAATCAATCATCCACATGCTAGTATGAATTGCAGTCAATCATCCACATGCTAGTATGAATTGCAGTCAATCATCCACATGCTAGTATGAATTTCAGTCAATCATCTACATGCTAGTATGAATTGCAGCTAATGTTATACCTCCATATGTAACACTATATCCAAGCTGGGCACTTTCCCAAGTGCTTCTCTGGAAACAAGATAAAGCCCAGCCGTGTACTCTGACCATGTCCCTATCTAAACACAAAAGGTAGGAAGGAGCTATTTACAGGTGACCATGTTAACCCTATAAGAAGATACTTTATTCTCCACTTCCTGCTCTTCGGAGCTCAATAAACACCAGCATCTCCTTCCTTAAACCTTTGAGAGTCTGAGGATTGGAGAGCTGGAATTTTTGCACAGACATCTCTGAAGCTAGAACTAAGTTTCTAAAAATGTGGCATGTTATGTAATCCAGGGGAGGGGATGGAAAAGTACCAGCTGGGGTGAGGCTGGAGACTTTCCTGCTTCTGACTCACTCCAGGCAAAAGCTCTTGTATTGAGATGCATCTCAGAGAAGCCAAACAAAACCCATTCATTCTGCAGGGTGACTGTTGGGGGAGCTGGACTGCCACTAGGGGACGGAGCCCCCAGGCACCGCTCTGAACAGTTACAGGGATTTTTCCTGTGGCCCTCAAGGCCCGCTCCCAGGGCCTCCTGCCCACTTTCAGGGCCTGTGGCCCACACCCCTGCCAGCCAGACTGCCTCCACCAGCCCCACCTACTGCCCTGGTCAGTCCTTGCCTCTTCCTTCTCCTGTGGCCTCAGGCTCTGCTCCGGGTCATGTGCGCCATGTGTTGTCATTCATTAAACATTCAGATGGTTCATTGCCAGCGTGTCAGCTCTGCAAATAGAGAGCACCTTTAAAAAAATATTGTTTTAACTCAAAGCAGTGCATAGGTACTTCTGCAGCGACATCACTAAGACCCTAGCATTGTTTAATGAGACCCGTGTCTCATATTAATTTATAACAAATTCTTTTTAACAAAATTTTCTGTTTGGCTGTACAGGGTCTTAGTTGCAACATGAGGAATCTTTAGTTGTGGCATGGGGGAATCTCGTTTCCTGACCAGGGATTGAATCCGGGCCCCCCCGCATTGGGAGTGGAGAGTCTTATCCACTGGGCCACCAGGGAAGCCCCCTATAACAGAAATTCTTAACTCTTATGATATCTACAGAGACTGTTGAGTGTTCTTTTGATCTGGAGATCTATTGAGAATGATGCAAAAGTTTTCCTTGTTCACCTGTAAGGAAATCTTAAGTTTTATCCAGGGTGAGGGTCGCTTTCCTTCCAGTTTGGCTATGCCATTTATAGCTGGTACTATATTTAATACTTGCAAAATGGGACATACCTTACATGGAAGCAAATGACATTTTAGTGGCCAGCACCCTGAGTCTACATTTCCCGGATGGGATGGACTTGCGCCTCCGGGACTTTAGCGTTCTGAGCCTCTCTGACTACTGCTGAACCTCAGAGCAGGGTGGGCTCCTCCCCACGCTCTCTGCACTGTGTATCACATCCTGCCCTGTCCCTCCCACACTGGCTCACAAGCTTGGTCCAGGCAGCCCAAGCGTCTCCTTCCTGTTTTCTTTGATCTTCAGTTCTTTCATTTTGGTTGTGGTATTTTCCTCACAGTGAGCTGGTGGCCAGAACTAGCAGAATCCCAGTTATTTTAAGATGAAGCCTTCATGGATACACATTTGAGGGGTAGCCCAGTTAAAGCACCAGAGTCCCCCCGGAGGGTTTCCACAGCACCGTCCAGTCTGTTTATAGACAGACAACCTGTCGTCTAGAAGGGAGGCAGCTCTCCCCCTTTCTGTGGGAGAAGCCAGCCCAGGTATCCAGACTTTCAGACTCTAGTCATGCAGCCATGAAGAGTCATTAGCATCAAAGGAAACTCTGCATTGTGATTGCCAAACTATACGGGCCCTGGTTAGAGAGCGTTTTACTCTATCTGAAAGAAGAGCAGTGCTAAGCTCTATGCCTCTCAATTTTGAACCCGAGGAGTTCTTAATTTTTGAAAATTGGAGTAACGGACTTTGAAACGAAGTGCTTTCTTTGGCTCAGTCATGGTAAAATAGACTCACAGGATGCCAGCGCTGTGGGAATCTGTTCTCACTCCCTTCTTTACGGAGGAGGATGCTGCCGGGTACCACCCACGGCACAGAGCTTGTCAGTGCCCGAGTGGGACTAGAAACCCACCACCTTGCCTTCGCGTGTGAATTTCCCCACTGCTCCGCATAGCCCCCACCCTATATCCACATTCTCAGGCAACTTGATGTAATGAAGTGTTTTGAATTTTACATGTCATTGCCTAAGCCGTGTCCTTTGAATTATTTATTTTTTTAAAAAAAGCATCAAATGGCTTTTGTAAATACCCCCAACAGGAGTGTAGAGGTTCTCATTGCCTAAACCATGTCCTTTGAAGTACTTATTTTAAAAAAAGCATCATATGACTTTTGTAAACAACCCCAACAGGAATTTAGAGGTTCTGGACTTGGGGAGAGAGATGATGCTGGCCATTCTAGTTTCCATATAAGATTATCAGGGCCCATAGTCTGACCTTGGATGCTTTGCCTCTGGATGGAATATTCGCTCTTTGAATCTGCACATGTTGAATTAAGGGAAGTGTGGAGGGTTTATCAGGGAGGTGGGGTTGTAGTAAGGTGATTTGCGTCCAGAAGGTGCGAAGCTGGAACAGATTCTGCTTGAGCTGATCTGGGAAGGGGTTATAGTGACGCTGAAGCTCGAGCAGGGTGATAATGACACAGTGTGCATTTTGAGTTCTGCCGTTTGAACTGTAAAAAGGGAAACTCGTGACTCCAAAGGACTGCCCTGGGCTGAATGCAGGCATGCACCCCCCAGTCTCGCGGGTCCCACCTGCCTTCCCCGGGCTCTCAGATGGTGGGCGCTGCAGCCTCTCTGGCTCCTAATCCCCCTCCCCAGTCCACGGGGCTCATGGTGGCCCTGGCTGCTCCCACCACATCTAGCTCAGATGAAGGGCTGCAGTGTGTGGTGTGGGTTCCCAGGTGCTAACGGGTGGGGGGGGGGGCATCAACCAGAAGTGCAGGTGAGTTCATGCTCCAGGGGGTGAAGACAGCCCAAGGTGTGGGGCGGAGCGGGGGAGGCTTGATGCCCCGTGTAGTGAGCCCTCACCCTTGAGATGGGGGACGTGCCGCAGCTGCAGCGTGAATTCCTCTCCCTCCCTCCCCTGCCCCCTCCTTCCCTGCCCTTGAGGTGTCCCGGGGGCGGTGATGCCCTCTGACCTTCCCTGATAGGTCCCACTTGACAGAACCACCAGCTGTGTTTTCTTTGGAGGCGCTGACGCTGAATAGCACACCCGTTGTGTGGATCTGCTTCTCCTGCCCTGTCACTTCCCTTCCCCTCCCTCTTGCTGCCCGGGGATGGCACCTACCTGTCCATCAAGTGTCCCAGGTAAGATCTGACTCAGCTGGTTGTTTTTGAGGCAGCGCAGGCCAGATGGGCGTTGACTGTTAAGTTGCTCCAGTTTATAAGTGTAACCAGGAAGCGATGCTCACATCACACCCAATTTCTCTGTCTAACTCAGTTTGCTCATGAACATCTGAAGCGACCTAGAGGGTGAACACTCTGTGTTTCCTTAACATGATGTCTCTGCTTCTCCATCTGTGTTTGGTTTGGCCATTTCTTCTTCCCTGACTAGTCAATTATTTCCTTATTCTTCATTCTGGATCAGCTAAAGAGCCAGGCTAAAGGGTTTAGCCAATGGCTATTACTCTTCTTGGATAAATATTTTGTATGGAGTCAAGTCACTTCCCTGGTTGCTGGCCAGGGGACAGCAGGATGACCCTTGGGTTTGCAGCTCTCTTGGGCAAGATGACAGCTGGTCCTGCTCCTTAAACTAGACTCACAGGTTTAGAGAAAAACTAGTGGTTACTTGGGCAGAGGAACAATAGAGGGGTTATAGAGTAAGAGGTACAAACTGTTAATGGAGGTGCAAACTATTATGTATGGAATGAGCTACAAGGATAGGGCTTCCTAGGTGGCTCAGTGATAAAGAATCCACCTATCAATGCAGGAGACGTGGGTTTGATTCCTGGGTTGGGACGATCCCTTGGAGTAGGAAATGGCAACCCACTCCAGTATGCTTACCTGGGAAATTCCATGGACAGAGGAGTCTGGTGGGCTATAGTCCATGGCGTCACAAGTAGTCAGACACAACTTAGCAACTGAGCATGCATCATGCAAGGTGCAAGGATATATTGGATGACATAGGGAATAGAGCCAATATTTCATAATAACTATAGAGTGTAACCTTTAAAAATTGTGAATCACTGTATTGTACCCCTGTGACTTATATACTCGTGTACAGCAACTATGTGTGTGTTAGTAGC